GATGGCGCAGCCCGCCCAGTTCGCAATGCCGAGGATGTCGAGCTTGGTGAATGCTGAAGGAGCAGATCTGATAACTTTATGAAGGGCATGAATTTCTTTGGGAAGAACGAGTTCTGGAGCTGGAAACAATTGTCCGACGTAGGTGAGGCATGTGATCGCGGAGGTGTTGCACAGCGAGACGTTCAGCTGGATGGCCGCGGAGGCGTCGCCCAATATCTGGGCGCGGTGGTGCCACTTGGCCGCAGGGGCGGCCCATTGTGCACGATCATCAGCACACGGGCCGATGTAGACTCCGAGGTACTTGGCCTTGCCGTCGATCTTGAATTGGGCCCAGGCGGGGTTGATCGCCCCGAGCGCGTCGCGCATAGTGTTGTCAACGTCTTCGAAGCAGTTGGTCCAGACTGGGACGAGCACGCACTTCCGAGGTTGGAGCATCAGCCCCGCGAATGCGTGGGCCGCCTCGGTACGCGGTAGGATGCCTTGCATGTCACGCAAGTGCGCTAAGACACAACCAATGTCGTCGGCACAAGCACTGGCCATGCCACGGCCAATCTGATGAAAGTGGCGTTGAATTCCGCGTAGGATGGGGTCGAACACCAGGGCCCAGATGGTGCCACTGAGTGGGCAGCCCTGAGCTACTCCGCTGGCTGCGACGAGTAATGGTCGACGTGTGCCTCCCAGCTCGAGGAAGGCGATGGGCGAGGCGTAGAAGGGCTGGAGGAGGCGACGGACGCGGCCACCAATCCCCCATCTGCGAATCACTCCCCATAACCAAGTGTGAAGCAGGCTTGGGAAGGCGGCGGCAATGTCCATGCTGAGGAAGCACGGCATGAGCTCGGCGGCGTTGTCCATGGTGCTGTAGATGCGGCTGTACGTCTCGGCTTCGACTATGTTGTTGAGGAATTGGCGGCCAGGAACGAAACCTCGTTGGATACTCGACACTTGCTTGACTATCGGATGGAGCTTGCGGTTGATGGCAGAGGCAGCAATCTTTACGTCGGTGTTCTTCATCGCGAGAGGGCGGAGTTGGTCTGGCGACCGATAGCATTCAGAATGTCCTGCAGGCGCATCACCTTTTGGCAGCATGGCGAGTAGTGCGTGGTCCCAATCGTGCGGGATGATGTTGTTGACCGAGATGTTGGCCACGAGCTCTTCCAGGATCTCGAAACTGTTGGGAGTGGATGTCCAAGCTTTGTAAGGAAGACCGTCAGGACCTGCGGCGGAGTCATGTGCTCGTTTTGCTGCGTCTTGTAGCTCTTCAGCATTGGGGAGTTCCAGCGCAACAGATTCACGCCGGGCGAAGACAGAGTCCAGGTAGACGCTCACGTTGGCAATGTTCACTGGTTTGTCAGCGAAGATCGGGCCCCAGTGCGCTAGTATAGCGTCGTGCATGTCCGACGGCGTCTTGGCGATGTCGGAGGAGTTGCCTTGCGAAATTCGGATGCCAGCGAGCGCCAGACGCTTGGAGAAGGGCTTCCGCAGCTCTCCAAGTCTGCGCGTGGCACTGGCCCGTTTCCGCCACCTGTCCCCTAGTTGACGCTGTAGACGTTGATAAGCATCACGGGCACGCGCGGCAGCGAGGGCGCGACGTTCTTCAGCGACAGCAGCATGAGCTTCAGCAGCGGCGTCGGCGAAGGCGCTGGCGTTGAAAAGGCAAACCTTGCTCGAAGGGATGTCGGTAGAGTTGTCGATGATGATCTGCAAGTGCTTGGAGCCGAGGTGGGTGGCGTCGATGAGGAGGCGCGCGAGCTTGATGTCCTGGTACCAGACCGCGCGCGAGATGCATCTCATGGTCATCGAGTTGACTTCCTTGGAAATCGAAAATGGTCGCGTGCAAGAACTTCAGGCGGTAGCCGCGCAAGAGCATCTCGCGTGGCTTTCGCAGCGTTCGTCATGTTGGATTTCAGCGTGCGCCCCTTGATGATGGGCGTGAGCGTGTCGCACTCGGTGTCGGCGGAGAGCTTGTCGATGAAGAGCTTGTAGAAGTCGGAGTTGAAGAGGTGGGCGGGGGTGCCTCGTTCAGCATGGGGCCGTTGAACTCGGGGGCGGAATCGAACATGAAGAAGTTTATGGTCACTGGCAGGTATTCCTTTTCGTTCGGGTGGCGAGTCGTCGGCAACCATGATCGTCTCAATGTGGGTGAGATTGTGTGCCTGGAAGGAGGTGAAGAAGCGATCGATGCTCGACTCGGTGTTGTTCGCGTATCAGCGGTGGGTGGTGGAGGGCGTGCAGATCTCGACCAGCGGTCGGAAGAGCTGCTTCCAGAAGGTGGGCTGGAACTGGTATCGTTCGTGAGTAGGCACTTCAACAGGGCGTAGTAGATTGTGAGCAGGTAGTTCAGAGATGTTGAAGTCGCCGAGCATGAAGAACATCACGTGTTCAGGATCGTTGTTAGCTTCATTCAGTGCCACCTGCCACGTGGACTTGAGCCGTCTTCGGTCATCTGCGGAGAGATCACGGTTATGAATGCTGAGGTAGATATGGAGGTACACCAGGCTGGGGTCGCGGATTCGCAGTTCGGCGACTCGGCCAGGGATGACCACGGAGAAGTTGATCAACGGCTTGGTGTTGTCCTGGTCGCTGCTGGGGGCGAACTTTGGGATGAGGAAGGCGACGCCGCCCGCCGCATTGGAGTCGGGGGTGCCGCTGTGGTAGACGTCGTACTTTGCGCCCGTGGAGTTGATGAGGCTGTGAATCATCTGCGAGGTGCCGCGTGTCTCCTGAATGGCAATGAGGGATCGCTTGGCGAGGTAGGGCTTGAGGATGGAGAGTTTGGCGTCGCGCTTGACGATGTTCGAGTGTACCAGCGCCTGGGCGTTCCAGCTGACCACCGAGCACTCAGTCATGGATGATGCGGTAGTCGCACTCCATGGAGTCCACTTGCTGTTAAATCCACGACACTGATGTGGTTGCATCCGCGAAGGCAGCGGCAAGGGCGTCGGCGCACGAAGACCGCGTCGCAGGAGTAAGGCCGACGCCATCAGCAGCATCAGACCATTGGATCTTGGTCGCAATCTCAGGGCGGGAGCCCACTTGGATGCGGACGATGGGCACATTGTCGATGGAGAGGTAGCCATCGGCGCGGTGGATCTTGGGGTTGAGGTCCTGCTTGGCGTTGTTGACGATCCTTGCCAGCTTCTTGAGCTGGATCTCCTGCCTGACGAGCTTGGGGCTCTTGTCTGCGCTGACGTAGCATGGGGCGCCACCGATCGTGAATGTGCGCCATTCCCGACCAATGCGCAGATGATGGTGAAGAGCCTGAGCACGTGGTATAGCGACAGCATTGGCTCCGAGTACAGTGATGGAGACCCGTTTGGCAGGAGCGGAGTTGTTGTCGCGTACCATAGACACGTCGATATTGGCCGCCGAAAACCATTCGGCGGTGGCAGACTTGAGGGATGCTTGTGTGATGTCCACGGTGGAGGCGATCCAAAAGGTGCCGATGTGTGGTGCCCTGTCCCACGAACCGATGTTGCTGACGTCGAGCGAGGGAACCTGGGCTTCAGCATGGGCAATGGCAGTCTTGATATTGTCCACCGCGTCGTTGAGGTTCTTGGATTCCACTTCGGAGGCGGAGATGCGCTGCTTGAGGGAGACGATGTTGTTCTCGACGTGGTCTTGGCGTTCGGTGAGCTTGGCAGTGATGTTGGTGATGTGCGTGATGAAGCTGGCTTGAGACGAGGCGGCAACTTTCTCTGCGGTAGCCTTGAATTGTTCAGCCGCGTCAGCAACTTGAACGGCCAGATGTTTCTCGATCTCGGAGCGGAATTGGTCAAGTCTTTCCTTTTGTGCAGCATCTTGCCAGGGGTCTTTGTTGTTCCGAGGGCTTCGTTCGCGACGATCACGAATGGTGGCGAAGTCGTTCGTCTCGGGCATGTTGGGAGCTCGCCGTGGACCACTGGGTCTGGATTCTCGAACGCCAATATGGAGGTGGCCGCGGCACCACAAAAAAATCAATCCCGCGTGGATATGTAAGGAGAGCGTAAAGGCAATCCTGAGCTGGCCCTGGAACAGGGGTATGCCGTGTAAGCCTCTTGGCGCTATGCCAAGCAACATTGGGACCTTGAGCCAAAATGGCTACGGATGGTGATGAGGAGGAGGAGGAGGAGGAGGAGGAGGAGGAGGAGGAGGAGGAGGAGGAGCAGGAGGAGCAGGAGGAGGATTGTGGCCCCGCTCCAGGAAGATGTTGGCCTCGCCGTACGGTCGTGCCCCCCTTCCGCCTCTACCTCTTGATTTTCGTACCCCCCGACGCTGGACGGGATGAGGGTAAGTCAACGAAGGCGCCACCCGTGATCGGAAGAACGGTTCGCAGCCTTAGCCTATGGGGGAAGAGGGGGAGGATGAGGAGGAGGAGGAGGAAGAGGAGGAGAAGGAGGAGGAGGCGGAGGAGGAGGAGGAGGAGGAGGAGGAGAGGAGGAGGAGGGGAGGAGGAGGGAGGAGGAGGAGGAGGAAGAGGAGGACGACGACGATGTGACGAGGACGACGACCCAGAGATCCGACGCATTGTTTCATCAATGCGCCCGCAGGTCCCGACCCGTCTCCCCAAGGCTTGGCCGAAAAAACGACAAGCACCTCCGGCACTGATTTTCCGTGACGCGACGAGATGTGGGTCCTCCCTTCAAAACCTGCCCTTCCTTTTGAGGGACGCTCTCTGACCAGGGCTCCGAAGGGAACCCGGCCATGGCGACGAGAGCGCCCCGGGAGACCCAGAAAGGACGCGAAGACCCCCCGCTGCGAGAACCCAGCCGTTGCGACAGCGCCCGAGGAGGCCCAAACAGGGCGCAGACACCTTCCGTCGTGGCTCTTGCCCAATGCCTTGGAGGTCCGGGGGCGGCGGCGGCGCCCGTCCGCATTGCCAGCAGCGACGACGCCGACGACGACGCCGACGACAACGACGACGACGACGACGACGACGACGACGACGACGACGACGACGACGACGGCGCCCGCCCGTGCTGCCGGCGGCGACGACGACGACGACGACGACGACAATGGTCCGCCTGCTCCGAGAGCACCGCGTGCACGCCCCGCAAGGGCGGCGAGACCTTGCCGCCCTTGGCGCCTGCGCACCCGCCCCCCCCCCCCCCCCGCGAGCGAGCGAGCGCAAGGAAAAACACCCAGACCCCGACAGTCTGCGTTTACTGCACAGCCTTGGGCGTTCACTAAGTAACCATGGCTCTTCGATTTCTTCCTTGGGTGCGTTTGCTACGCGGCGTCGCTTGTCGGGGTGCTCACGTACTATGAGGGCGGATGTTTCTGCCCTCCCCCCCTGGGTGCACAGTTTCCCCCAGGGCCGTAGGCGACTCGAGGAGGAGGAGGAGGAGGAGGAGGAGGAGGTGGAGGAGGAGGGGAAGGGGGAGGAGGAGATGGATCAGGAGGAGGAGGAGGAGAAGGAGAAGGACGGGTCGCCTGAGCCCTTCGGAATAACCCTCTACCCCTAAGTGGGCCCTCCCTCTGTGGGCGTCGAACCTTCCCCACTGGGCTTGCGGCTTCGGGCAAGCGCCCTGGGTGGCGCCGCTGGAGACATGCACATGGGGGGAGGAGCCGGAGGGAAGAAGAAACCCGGGGCACCTTGACCAAAAGCATCTGGTGTCTTGATGCGCGTCCCTGCTGTAGCTAAGACCAGGTGGCTGGGGCCGCGGCCCCTGAACATCCGATCAAAGCACACTGCACCGACCGCTCGCTCATCAAGCAAGCAAAGGAAAGGAAAGGAAGGCAGTGAAAACTGTGCCAGTCGTCTGGGGTGATTTTGGCCTCCCGCTGACGTTGGCAATGCCGTAAGAACATGACCAGGCAAGCTCGCAAATGGCTGCGATCCTAGCTTTGAGCTGTATGGTAGGGCCTGAACTTGTCACCAGCACATTCTTGTCACTTCGTCGCAAGCCCGATGAGATCTTCGAGACCAAGTCCGCTCAACTTGCAAGGGGCGAAGACTCCGGCCCTGCTACTGGCAGATGTCTGTGTGACCCGAGTGTTGTTGTGGGAGTTCCGGCCAAGGCCTGCGCCTGGGCAGCTGCTGCGGTCTGCCTGCTAGCAGCCACCGCTGTACCGCGGTCTTGGACACTGACTCGGCGATCGTGGGTGGACTCAGCGGCACTGAAAACACGTTTTCCGTTTCCCCCTGCCCCCTTGGATCCTCTTGGATCCTTAGCCTTGGCGCCCATGCAGGCTGTCCAGTGCAAGCTGGTGTTCTGTCAGCTGCGTGCCGCCCACCCCCGACAGTGCCCATGTTGCAACAGCCTTGCTATCCCAGATCCTTCCCCCGAACAATTCAAAGTTCAATGGGTCCCAGGACAAACTTGCGCTATGTTCTGCGGAGAGGTGTAGAGTTCTTGAATGCCTTCTTGCGGGCCATATTCGAAAGGCCATGCCACCCTATGGAGTTATCACACACGCACACACATACACACAGCTGCACATACTTCCTGGATGAGCCCCCAGCCAAGGCTAGCCTATATGAATGGGCAGTTGCGTTGGTGACGTCCGGGAAAGAGTTGCACAGTATGCCCAGCAGTGGGTGGTTCGTGGTTGGGAGAAGGCGGCTGATGCTCCCAGAGTCAGCAGTTTGACCGCCGCAGCCAGTCCTCAGCCGAGCACTGAGGTTGGCCATGTGGCAGAAAATGTCCGTAGGAACAAGAGCAGCGTCGGTAGAAGCAGGATCTGGAGGGGAGGGAAGGATGGGAGGGGCGAAGACGGGATGGAAGGGAGGAGATGAAGGAAATGATGAAGAAGAGGGGCGGTCCATGGATAAAGAAACGCTGCAGAAGAGCTGCCACATGTGAAGAGAAGAGCATGCAATAGTAGAGGAAGCGGCAGCGGGGGCAAGAGAGAGTGGACATGGAGAGCGATGAGGGTAGTGGGGGTAGAGAACAAAGGGAGCGGGACAGGAAGGGGGGGGCTCTAGCGGGACAAAGGACGAACAAACGCGGCATGACAAATACATGCTCGGAGGGCTGTGCCGATTTCTTGGAGGGACACCCCCCCTCTTAGCGCGCGAAACGCGCCAGGGGCTGCGCCCGAGGCGCCGACGGGAAGCCCCGCGCCGATCCAAGAAATCCGCGCGGGGCTCCGACAGAGTTTACGCTTACGCAGCTGTCGACTACCTACTTGACCACCCCAACCCAACCCGAAGACCCGAATTCGACCCGAATTTCGGGTTGGAGGGGGGTACGGGCACCATGTGTTTTTTCAACGTTCCCCGACCCCCCCCCACTGGAAATGGAGGGCAAATTGAGGCCTTCGGGTTGGGTTGGGGTGGTTTGGTAGGTGGTGAGATGCCTCACTCCAGGCACGGTCTGGCCGGCGACCGTTCGAGGTCCAAAAACGGCAGTGTGTAACAGCGGCGGCGGGGCGCGTCGGGCTACAGTCAGGCACTAATGCAGGGGAACGGGGGGGAGGGAGGCCGGGGGGGGGGGGGAGGAGGGACAGGCACACTCAGACCGTGAAGGCCGCCGTGTGCGTGCCAAACTCCTCCTCCTCCTCCTCCGCCGCCTCCGCCGCCGCCGCCGCCGCCTCCTCCTCCTCCTCCTCCTCCGTTGCCTCGCCCCGCCGCCGCCTCCTCCGCCTCCTCCTCCTCCTCCTCCTGAGGGAGGGAGGGGCACGAGGAGGGGGAGGAAGCGAAAGCAGCCGTCCCGCCAGCCCCCCGCGCTCGGGCCCCGCGCCTCGCAGCAGCGCCAGGGTCTCCGTCAGCTCGCACGGACTCGCCGGGAGGGGGCGAGGGGGGCCGTGGAGGCAGTGCACGTGTCGACCACCCGAGGGCAACCTAGTGGCAAGAGATAGAGAGAGAGAGAGAGACGACGACGACGACGACGACGACGACGACGACGACGACGACGACGACGACGACGACGACGACGACGACGACGACGACGACGACGACGACGACGACGACGACGACGACGACGATGATGATGATGATGATGATGATGATGATGATGATGATGATGATGATGATGACGATGCTGATGATGCTGCCGCTGATGATGACGATGATGATGATGATGATGATGATGATGATGATGATGATGATGATGATGATGACGACGACGAGGATGATGATGACGACGACGACGGCGACCCTTACGACGACGAAGAGAGGTCACGACAGAACCCGCGGAGGGGGACTGCTGGCGGCTGAGGGTCAGAATCCTGTACCTTCTGATACAGGCTTCTGTGAACATCCCCCCCGCCCCGAATTGAATATTTGCAGGCTGCGCCGCAGTGTGTGGCTCTGTCGACTGGCCGAAAGCCCGCGCCCCGCTTGCGATGCCAACCAACATTGGATCGGGGGCAGGGGGAAGCGTTGAAGTGTGCGCCCGCACCCTGGTCGCGCGGGTGGTGCAGGATTTTGTCCATCATTGGCGGCGCGCAAAAAGGGGTGGGTGGAGGGGGGAGGGCTTCTTGGAAGGAGGCTGCTTCTCAGAAAGCGCGAGCCTGACATTTACAGACAAGGCCCACGCCTTCTAAAAAGCACCCTGGTTCTGAGAAGCCTTCCCCCCTACCCCTACCCACTCTGCTGAGGGGCAACGATATGGGGGAACTGGCATCGGGGGGGATGAATCAACCTGGAATCGGAGGTACATCATCGATAGATCGGCGATCGGCCCCCGATAGCGAAACCGCACCTTTCTGGGCGGGCTGGGGCTATGAGGCCCCCATCGGCGATCAATGGGCGATTGGGGGTCGCTGCATCCCCCCTTTGCCTACCCCCCCCCTATCGTTGTCCCTGATCTGCGTGTGGCCGACATGTCGCCGCGCCGTTTGTCCTCGACGCGTCCACGTGGGCGACGCAGACACCACTGCAAACCCACGGCAAGCCCTGTGCCCCAAAGCCCCAGGCAGACGTCGCCGGAACCGCGGCAAACCCACGGCGAGCACACCGCGCCCCAGGCGGCGTTTTGCCCCGGTCCCCGCGGCGCCCTCTGGCATGCGCAGGGCCGCGAGCCGGCGGGGGGTGAAGAACCGGGCCCTCAGAAGGGCCCTTGTGAGGCCCCTCTCGGAGCAGGCAGGGGGCCCCACAGGGCCCCTTTAGGGCTCCTTCCTGCACCCCCCATTCGGGTCGGGCGAAAGGGGGGGGCAGCAAAGGGGGGGTTTGAGCATCAGCTCACGTAGCTGACTTTCCTGGCGCCTCCCGGCGCCGGAGGCGGCTATGCATCCAGGAATGGGCCCCTCGGTGAGGCCGAAATCAGCTGCATGCAACTAATTTCGTACGCCCCCCTTTCCCAATCCCCCCCTTTCGTCCGGCCCGACCCATCCAGGTCACCCCCCATTACCACTGGCCCGATCTGTGCAGCATCGACTCGGGCAGTCGGATTGGATCGGAGCGTGTACCGAAACGGGCCGCACCGGCTCGGAGCCGTGATCGGACCGACTCGGCGGAGCCAGGATGCATGACGGCGTCATGCAAGCCTGGGGCCGCGTCGGATCGCCCGAAAATCTGGACTGAACCGAATCGGGCCAGCCATGGCCGATATGGAGTCGGAACGAGCGGGTCGAGATGGGCCCTGGGGGGTGAGGAACTCACCGCCCCCAGAAGAAACTTCGCCCAAGAGTTCACGAATCGGGTCGTCAAGCGATACGTCCACCACAGCGGTGCTCCGCGAGTTGCGGGCGTAAGTGCGTGTGTGGTGTCTTCGTGGGGCCTATCTTAAGGTCTCCAGTCTAGTGCACGTCCCCGCAAAACGTGACCAATTCGTTGCTTAATCGAATCATAGCTTTGCGTCCGCCGGCCAGGGTTAAGTGGCACGTCGGAGGACCAAAAGTGAACGTGCGCGCGTGCGTGCAATGCGCGTGCGTGTGCGTGTGCGTGTGCGTGTGTGGGTGCGTGGGTGCGTGTGTGTTGTGTTTGTGTGTGTTGTGTGTGGTTGTGTGTGGTTGTGTGTGTGTGTGTGAGTTTGTGTTTGTGCTTGTGCTTGTGTGCGTTTGTGTCTGTACTTGTGATTGTGCTTGTGCTTGTGCTTGTGCTTGTGTTTGTGCTTGTGTGTGTGCTTGTGGGTTGTGGGCGCCGTTCTCGGCCCGCTCTCTGCGGAGGCGCCCGCCGGCCTGGTGGGGCCTGGTGGCCGACGGGCCTCCCCCTGGGCGGCTCTGCTCCCTCCCTCGCAATCCTCGCCTCCTCCCTAAGTGCGGCTGTTTCGCTTCGCAGCAGATTCGAGCGTTAGCCGCTAAGTGCGATAGGGGTCATCGCTGGTAATCGAAAGGATTACGTAGATAGAATTTCCCGAGGCCTCTGGCCTAAAGTTCGCAGTAAAGCCGAGCTGGCCAGCGGGAAGCGGCAGGGTAAGTAGCCGCTTCAGTCATCAGTAACCGACACTGTCGCCATACCCAGAACTCCAGAACTCCCTGCTGGGGGGAGGCCTCAGCCTTAGGGCATGTCCCTCCACAGGAGGAGTCTTCGAAAAAGGCAGCAATCGTCGGGGTGCGATGTGTTGTGCCCCTTGACTTGTTTCTTTTTTAATATGTTTCGATTGTTAATCGTTTCTCATCGACAATCCGCCCGTAAGAGGACATGCCCGACTTAACGCCAGTCTTCGGGGCGGCGCCGGAGGCGCCGCCGGGGGGGGCCACAGCGCCGATCCGAGAAATCCGCGCGGACCTCCGGGTTTTTTATGTTTATGCCACTTGTTGTTCCCCTAAGTCTGGCTTTAGGTCGGGCATGTCCTCGTACAGGCGGACTGTCGATGAGAAATGAAGAACAATCGAAACATATTTTTTAAAGTCCAACAGCACAACAAATCGTACTCTGACTATTTTTGCCATTTTGAATACTCCTCCTGTAGAAAGACATGCCCGACTTACACCTACCGTTGCCCCTGATGTTCCCGCCTTCGTCCCCCTCGTCTTCTCCTTCCGAATGGGAGGCCCGAGCCAGGCCCAAACATGCGACGCCCCACCTTTTTCACCAAGGGTCCCCGAATGCCCCCCGACCAGCTTCGAGTTCATCCCTCTCCCGACGATTCACAAGCCCAAAGGCGATGCCAATCTTGAGGATGCGCCCGCAGAAACTGAACGGAATTCCTCAGGTTGGTATCGAGAAAAACTGATGCCAATCCTATCGGGATCTCGGGATACGTTCGGGGGGGCAACGATAGGGGGAACTGGCATGGGGGGGGATGCATCGACCTGGAATCGGCGATACATCGACGATCGATCGGCGATAGGCCCCCGATGGCGAATCCGCAGCTTCCTGGGCGGGCTGGGGCTAATTATCAGACCCCTTCTCGGCGATCCGTGGGCGACGGGGGGTCGATGCATCCCCCCCTATTTGGGCGCCCGAGTTATCCGGGGTAACTCGGGTCCGGGGTAACTCGGGTTTGGATTCCCGAAAAAGAAACCCGAGTTACCCCTGACCCGAGTTACCCCTGATGATTCGGGGCTCTGGACGCCCGAGTTATCCAGGGTAACTCGGGTCCGGGGTAAGTCGGGTTCGGCTTCCCGAAAAAGAAACCCGAGTTAGCCCTGACCCGAGTTACCCCTGATGATTCGGGGCTCTGGACGCCCGAGTTATCCAGGGTAACTCGGGTCCGGGGCAAGTCGGGTCCGGCTCCCCGAAACACGAACCCGAGGTAGCCCTGACCCGAGCTACCCCTGATGATTCGGGGCTCTGACCTATGCCCATCCCCCCCCCCGATCGCTGCCCGCGAGCGTGGCATGGCAACTCCCGGCGCTTCCCCCCGGGGGCCGGCTTCTCGCCCCAATCTGATGGGCCTGTTTTCCACCACCACCACCATAAGTTGGAGGGCGAGGGGGTCCTCCTCCTCCTCCTCCTCCTCCTCCTCCTCCTCCTCCTCCTCGTCCTCCACCTCCTTCCCCCCTCCAACTTATGGTGGTGGTGGTGGAAAACAAGCTTATCACAATCGTGTCTTGACGGCCCCGGGGCCAGGCGCAGGGCCCCCCCGGAGGCCGCACTCGGCCGAAAGAGCTCCGCCTCGTATACAGCAGGGGCCGTCGACTCGCGCGGTCCTCCATGAGAAATGTGGCGCGGGCCGCCTCCCGCGCGCGCGGCCGAAGGGGGCGAATTCCTTGCCCCTCGCGATCCTCCATCAGAAGTGTGGCGCGGGGCACATCCCGCCCGCGCGGACGAGTGCTTCCCTGGGCCGTCTCCTGGCACTCCCGTGGGCCTGCCACGACAAGCTCCTCAAACCAGAAGGTGTCCCCCCAAAACGAAGCGAGCGTCTCAGAACACGCAGCCGATGTATCAAGCACAAGACGATCTCAACCAGAGAGGTTCTAAGAATATCTCGTGCAACACCCGAACGTTGCTCGGGGCATTACTTGGCAAAGGCCCCAGGATCGGACCGAGAAATCGGATCGGCGATCGAGACCCCCTCCCTTGACGCCCTTCGCGCGCCAGGGAGGGGGTCCAATGCCGATCCAAGAAGTCCGCGCTCAGCCCGGAAAAATTATGTTTCCGCCGCTTTTCATCAGGTCGGGCATGCCCTCCTACAGGCGGATTTGAGAAGAAAAGTAACAAATAGTCAAACACATCCAAAACATTAAAACTATCTGAAAATCGTGATCCTACTATTTTTTGGCTATGCTTGAATACTCCTCCTGTGGAGGGACAGGCCCGACTTAAGCTTCTCATGCCACGCCTGTCGTCAACCAGGGAGGCGAGAATATATCCACCTCCGCCGCCCGTGGCACCGACTCCCTGGGGCCCCAGAGGGCGGTGCCCGTGGATGCATCTTGGCCCCAGCGTTC